TCTTAATTATTGTATTAATAAGACAAACAAACCAGTGCATATTGAGAGTATAACTATTGGTCGATACGGACTAGAGCAGTTTAATAAAAATGATTAAAAAATCGAGAAGCAAGTTTATAAATAAGTATATTTTTTGAATAAAACCAGAAAAACCGTACTCGTATAATTTGACGCTCGGCTTAACAATGTGCCTTAACTTAAAAAGTTTGGTAACTTGTTCAAAAATTAACAGCTTCAGACAAAACTTGCAAGTACTTATTCTCTACAAACTGGTCGAAGTACAGATACAAAAATCATTAACAAATGGTACACAGTAAAAAATTCTGTTCATAATTCTTTGTTTTACTGGCTCCAAAGAAGAATTTAGCAACACATTAAAGAACTAAGCATTCTATTTAGAACAGTTTTAAAAAACAAGATATTAGGATTACTTTCACTTCGTATATTTCCTAATATCTAAAAAAGATTCTAATATCTTGTTTGTTAAAATTCAACTGAGTTCGTACCAGCGAAAACAATGAGTTCTAATGTAGAACAATGCAAAATATGTATAATTTGACTTACGCTATCTACTGAAAATCTCACCAATCCAAAAGGCGAACAGGAGCAAAGTTATTCAATCATGAATCCAAGTCGAGGGTTATCTTTATCTCCGTGTCCATTAAGTTGTGCATCCATCAAAGATGGACATTGACAAGGGCCATTGAACAGTAGAAAATTCGAAAACAAAATTGAATGTAATTGTGCAAAAATATTGCAATGATTATCGATAATTCTTTACCATAGTTATTGAAAAAACTTCAGTGTTGAGCGAAAAAAAGAGTGTTCTCTGTAGTATCCTAAGAGCTGACTCGTTGTTTCGACATGAGTCAGCTTTGAACTACGAAGCCCAGTGATCCGCTGGTGTCTAGGCAATGTCTAACACCGATTTGTTAGAAAGACTGCGATTTGAGCTGCGTTCATAAGAGCGTTGCTGGTGACATACATATCATTATATATATTAAAAAACAATCATAAAAAAGAAAAACCTTTGTATATTCTCAGACGGATTCGAGCTTGGTACCCAGAAAAAGCTCACCAAAATTCGTTAATAAATTCGATAATTTTTCGTGATTAATTGTCGATTTTTGTGCCATTTTCTCTAAAAGGGCAGACACGTGAAAAGTATCAATTTCGACTTGTATTAACGAGTTATTCCTGAAGTCAGATGCTTTCCAAAGCATTCGGTATCTTAAGTTAGATCAAACGAGAATAAGCAAAATATGGTCAACAGGTGTTAGTCATTTACAAAAACTGGGGAAAAAGATGAGATCGAAATATTAAAAGTTGTTTTCTTTTTATGTTGTTATATGTGAAACACGGTTAACAGGTGCCTGTACGACGCGTAAGACGTTCATATATCAAGCAAATGACTCGTGATACTGAATATCGTACTACTCAGGCAAAAAAATTAATCGTTTTTGCTTGGGTATGCGCAACGAATATTCACCGATCATGCAGAAATAAATTCAGCGATGAATGACTATCAGTTTAATAATAAAATAAGTAAAAACACTAACTCAATTTTCGATATCTAAAATTATTATTAATTCTGGGCCCCTTATCAGAAGAATATTTTCACGAACCTTTTTTGAAATAGGTAAAGTAAAACATAAAAATGAGAACACGGCATGCCGCATTTTGAAAAAAAATAAAATATTGAGGCTTAATTGAAAAAGTAAATAGTTATATCATACAAATGCTGAGTTTTAGACTTTCGTGTTTCTTATAGTATTGACAATACTTTGTATACGCTCAATATTTGAATGATCAATTACTATTCTTTTATACATTTCCAAAGATTTAGTGTAAAATTCAAGAGCAATATCTCGATTATTCTGAAGATTATAAACTTCACCAATATTTTCAAGACAGCTAGCAATTTCAGAAGTTTCAGAGGGTACCAATTGATTACATATTTCTAATGATTTTGTACAATCTTCAATAGCTTTTTGATAATTTTGTGTTTTTGAATAAATAATTGCAATATTACTGAGTGATTGTGCTAAATGTATATGAATAGAAGGTAAAATATTTTCTCTTAGTTTCAATGATTTAATATTGTAGTCTAATGCTAGATTATAATCATTTAATTTACAGTAACATTCACCAATAGTATAATAAATTTGTGCAATAGCTGGATGATTATTAGGTAAAATTTTTTCAAAAATTTTCATTGATTTTATATGATGTTCTAACGATAAATTATAATCTACTTTATGAAAATAAATAGTACCAATAATATGATGATAAAATGCTATATTAATATTATCATCTGATAAAATTTTTTCCCTAATATTTAATGATATTATTACATGTACTAAAGCTTGATTATATTGTCCTTTATTTAATAAAAATGAACTAATATTACAATGACATTGTGCATAATCTTCAAGATTATTTGGTAAATTTTTTTCATATATTTCTGATGCTTTTATATTATGTTCTAATGCTTTATCAAATTCAATTTTATTATAATAACATGAACCAATATTATTATGACTATGTGCAATATCAATATGAGCCATTGGTAAATGCATTTCTCTTATTTGTAATGCTTTCAAATTATAATTAAGAGCAAGATCGTAATCATGTTTTTTTTCAATATATATAAGAGCAATATTAAATTGACATTGTGCAATTTCTTTGTAATGATCTGATAAATATGTTTCATATGTAACTATGGCCTTTTGAAAATGTTCGATAGACCAATTATATTCACATTTTCTATAGTAAACATTACTAACAGTTTTATGAAGTTCTGCAATTTTTTCATAATTAATTGGTTGAATTTTTGCATATATTTTTAACATTTTCAATAAATGTTCTAAACTATTATCATCATCACTATGAGCAGCAAGAACTTCATGAACTGATAATTGCTTCGTATTATCAACTAATGTTTTTGTACTAAGTACTTTTTCTGCTAAATTATATAATTTTTTCATACATAACTCTTTTGCAACATTGTCATCTTTTTTCTCATAAATTTCAATTAGATGTAATAAAGTATCACGATACTCTCCATATTGAAATACAAAATTAAGATTTTTTTCTCGAATATCTAAACATTTTAAATGATATTCTAATGTTTTAACATAATCATTTTATTTAAAAAAATTCGACCAATATTAGAATAATTTCGAGCTATATCTAAAACATAATCATGACATGAAATATTTTCGTAAATATTTTGATTTCATGTAATAATCAAGTGCACATTCATAATCATTTTTTTCATTATAAATACAACCAATATTATTCAATGATTGTCCTATTTGACAATGATCTTTTGGTAAAATTTCTTTTCTCATATTATATGCATTTGTATAATATTTCATTGCTTCATCATAATTATCTTTCTGATGATAGATAACACCAACACTATTTGTTATCGATGATGCCTGATACATATTTGGAGATACAGTATTATTTAAATATTCATCAAATGCATGATGATAATTAATTAATGAATTTTCATAATCACCTTGTTGAAAATAAGTTTGACCAAGATAATTATAAATTTCGGCTAAATTTTCTCTTTTGTTATGATTTAAACGTAAATTTAATAAATTTTCAAAATATTTTATAGAATTACACCTAATGCTATGTCCAAACCAATTTCTGCAGCCGCTGTTGTTTTATTAAGCTCTTCAAGAATGTTACCTGGCCATAGTTCTTGTGTTGGTACTGCAATCAATTTCACTAACCAAATTTTTTCATTATCAATATAACTGACATTGGTTATTGTAAATGAAGCACCCAAATCAAATAACACTTCTTCTTCATCTGGGTAATCACTATATTCTGCTATATCAGCAAATGCCGCTGTTATTAATTCAGTATTAACTTCAATCTCAAGCATAACAATTTCAACATCTAAACGTTTTGAACATTTTTTAGCAAAAGAATAGGCAACATCTTTTGAACGACTTGTCGATAAAAATCCATATGTCGATACCATTTGACCAATATTACGCTTAAAATTATAAATTTCATAAGATGTCAATTTTAATCCACGATATGATACTATAATAGGATTATCTTTTTGACGTTGTTTAAGTTCTGGATATTTTTTATTAAGATTTGAACAAAGATCATTGATAAAAAATCTTAATGTATATAAAGCTTCGAAATTTTCTGTTCTTAATGCCTTATTAACTAATCAATAAACAAATGTTTGCTTTGTATACCATTTAATAGCATCATTTGATGTATATGTCAATTCAAATTCTTCAATATTAAGAAGTTCTTTTTTATTTCCACGATAATAATTTCGACATATTTCAGTCATCTCCTTTTTAGCCGTGTCTGTATTATGTTTTATATTTGATAAAAATATTTTAATAATATGAAAAAATTTAAATTCATCCCATTCTCTATTTAAATTTTTCATTGATTTTTCATCTTGATCAAATAAACTATAGGCTTCGGATTGTTTTATTAAAAATTGAATATTTTCTTGGATATCATGTAAAAGATGTTCATATTCAGTATATATACCAATTAATTTATAATATTTCTCGTTGCGTAACAATGATGCATATAATTCATGTTTCATACAAAATGATACAGCGACATTACCGCGAATACAAAAAACGACATTACCGCGAACACAAAAAACGACATTACCGCGAAGACTTGTTTGTTGGAAAAGCCGAATAAATGAGGCCGGTTTTGTATTTTGTACATCATGTTTTCAAACTTAACTGACGTTA